ACACAGGAAATCCAGTGTGGAAAGGAGGAGTATGCTGTTACATTACAAGGAGAGCTGCTAGGGTCACATAGCAATGTGTGTACAAATTTTTGTACAAAAAGCTGACTTGAACTGTAAAGTTTCACTTAGAGCATAATAAAAATAAAATAGCTTAGAAATATTTGGAAACTGTGGAATTAACCAAAAGTACTAAAATTAAGTGATGAATGAACAAGCTAAAATATGCTACAATTGACAGAAAAAGCTAATGTCATCTTAGAACTGCAATAACAGAAGTATCCAGAAAATGGAAGGTAATGGCTCCACATTATGCTATTTTAGATCTATGTACTACCTTTTAAGAGTTCACTGATAATTAAATCAGACATCCAGAAGAGAACTTATTGCAAAGATTAAAATAGTGGATTGTTAAGCCTAAATGATTTTTTTTTCCTATGTCAGAGGAATTGAGAACTTTAGTTCACAGTAAAGAAAGGAAAACATTCAAAAACTAGAAGAAAATGTCTTATGAGGCACGCTACACGTCACAGGAATGAATCCACGGAAAACTTTCCTTAATTGTTGGAACATGACCTTTACAGGCCTTCTAATACTAAGATCCTCAAACAATGAAGCATACTTCATTAACAAATGCTAAATATTTCAAATTAATTGCTGATTAAATTTATCAGAGATAAAGTCTGAATTGACAACAGAATGAGCCTAATAAGTAGTGAGCTCAGACTTAACTCTCTTCATTTAACATGAATCATAATTTTTCCTCATAATAAATTATCAAGCCCTCAAGAGGAAGAGTCTAGCAATTCTGTTTCCTCATGTTAAATACTGAACTTACAAGCCTACGTAAGCATACAAGCCTATTATTACATAAACGTACAAGCCTAATTCTAAAACACTTTCAATAAATATGCCTATCAGAACAGTTTTTATTCTTCTTCTCCTCAGTGATTTTCTATGATTCTACAGTGAAATAACACACATTAGAAAACTAATACTTTATTCACAATGTCTCATATTCAGGTATCATTTGCGCTCTCTTGCTACTTCAGAAATCTGGAAAAACTAGTTCTTCAGTAACTATCCTCAACCCCTCCATCTCCAATAAATTATTCACAGGAACTAGGTTACTATAAATCAACACCACTATTAGATACACTTTCTTCAAGGTTGGTGGCTAACTGGTTTCTGGAAAAGCAAAGAAAACGTACTCACTTCTTGGCTCAGTCCAGAAAAGGTTTTTTGAAGCTCCTTGGCAAATTCCAGGTTATGTAGCACTTCTTCATATTTCTCTACTGCTTCCTAACAAATACAATAAGAAAATAATTCTGTGATCTTCTAAATACAAATATGTCAAAATATGTGTTCCTTAAACATAGTAGAGAAGATTTAAGACTTTATGAACTAGCTACTCACCATATATACACAAAAAAATAGTTGTCTAAAGAAAAAGCAGAGGGAAAGAGCATTTAGGACAAACTATATAAAGTTAAATTTAGAAGTTCAATTTTTATGCTAGAAATAAAACTATTCGTAGCATAAATCTGAGCTCTAACTTCATCCTATCTAGAAAGTGTAAGGTCAGAGACACCTATGGGTTTTAAGAGTACTCAGCCAATAGGATTCCTTTGTTAGTATTCATCCACTACTCAAATGTACTGCACAAGTAGCATAGTGAGGATCACGCAGATGAACAAGCAACTTCAAGACACTGATAACCCAATGGAAAAAAAACAGACTTGTAGGCAATTACCTATAGCAAACAAAATTAAATAAGTATAACAGAAATGACAAGCAATGTCCTACAAGAAATCAATGGAGTAAAAAAAATTTTTTTAAGATTTCACAGATGAAGAGAATTGATCATTGGGGGGCGGGTGTATTTTTTATGGCACTTAAGCTAACTCAAATTTATACAGATGAAAAGGGCCAACCTAGAAGAGAAGTAGGTGAGGAACTTGCCCAACAAGATAAAGACATATTATAAAGCCTCAGTAATTAAAATAGAATTGACACAAAGATAAACAGACCAGCAATATACACTAGAAAGACCAAAAACAATCCCACACATGGAAACTTGAAAAAAGAAGCATCTACAGTAGGTTTAACTTATATAGAAAACGGAAGGAGGGGGAGGAATAAGGATATTTGCTTATTTATACAGACAAACTCTGGAAGGATATATAAATATCTATCAACAATTATTACGTAGCAAGGTGAGACGCGAACAGAGGAAGGACAGAGGTGAGAGAAAAAACTGCATGTTTTTTAACTATTTCAACAGTTCTCTGAGGGGTAAGATTATAGATTTCTTTCTTCTGACATTATCTACGCTTCCTAAATTTTCTACTTTAAATGTATACTGTTTGCATCAAGGGATTTGCTTTCTCAAAAGTACCACAAACTATACGGTTAATCATATCTAAAGACCTAACATTCAATCAGTCTATATTCATAAATCTATATTTAATAAATATTATTTTATATAAATATGCTATACACTGTTCTAAGCACTAGGAATTCAGCAATGAACAGACAAAATCCCCACCTGCATGTGCATGTAACTTACACTGTAAGGAAAGGAGAGAAAAAAAATAAATAAAAATTTGTAGTTTGTCAGAGAAGTACTAAGTGCTATGAAGAAAAATAAAGCAAGTAAAGGGACTAAGTAGTGGGTATGGAGGGGTGGGGATGTAGTATGGTCAGATAAGCCTAAGGTGACCTTCAAATAAAAAGCTGAAGGAGGTTAGGAATTAAGCCATTTTGTTATCTGGAGGAAGAGCATCCCAGGCAGTATGAACAGCAGGTGCAAAAGCCCCGAGGTAGAATTATGCCTGTGATGTTTGAGGAATAGCAAGGCAGCCAGAATGAGGTTAGCAAGGTAGAGAAGTGTAGGAAATGCAATGAAGATTTAAAAAAAAAAAAAAAAAGGGAGGGAAAGGTATATTTTGTAGGGCCTCATAAGCCCAATGGTGGGTTCTGAGCAGTGAAATGGCACTCTGACTTGCATTTAAACAGGATTACGGAGGCCACTATACTGAAAACAGACTGGGGAACAAAGGCAGGAAACAGAAAAACCTATGAGGAAGCTATTATACTAACGCAGATGAAAGATGACAACATGACAGAAATGGAATTTATGAGAAATGGTCAGTTTCTGGATTTGTTCTGAAGTAGAACTGAGATTTGCTGATGGGCTAGATGTCAGATATGAAGAGAAAAGAGATGAGAAATTCTCCAAGGTTTTTGGCAACTCCATCCTTATAATTGATCAGGCCAGCAACTGACATAGCTAAGATTTAAAAAAGACCAGGTTTTGGGGCGGGGGGAGGGAACGTTGGAGAGAAATCAGGAGATATCAAAATGGGCAACTGGACATATAAATCTAGAGTTCAGAGGACTGATCTGTTGGCAAGATAAATCTGGCAGTTGTTAGCACATTACTGAAGAAATCAAAGTTCATATATTTACATGACATGTAGTTATGAAGACATAATATTGAGATTAAGTTTCTTGGCTACAGCTCTGAAATATACATGTCCTTGACATTTCTTAGAGAGCTACCATGTGAATCACCAACACCCACCCCATCCCCCATGTTTACTCAAAATAAAAAAAAAAAACACTATTAACAGAACATTTCCTTCAAGGACATTTACACAAAGAAAAGGTTTATTACTTTAAAAGTTAACTACCTGAAAACAAAGTCAGGTTGAAATGCTTTGTTCAGCTAAGTTCTCTCACCATCTAAATGAACACATCATTCTCACAGCTCACGTGATTCAAATCTGTGCCTCAGAAAAATTATAATTTACTACACCACAAAAATTCTGGGTCAGTATAGGAGAGTCAATATGTCAAAGGAAAGAAAAGTCCTCGAACTCCAGCATCTATGATACACAACCAAAAACTTTAGTTGAATCCTTTAGGAAAAAGATTAAAAAAAAAAAAAAGATCTAAAAGCTAAAAAAAATAACTTTCAGATTAATTTTGTCCCTGCTTAGCCAGGAAAGGTAATCAGGCCAAAGTGGAAAATATCAATGAAGTATTTTTTTTCTTTTCATATTGCAAAAAATTTTTCACCAAATCAGGTAAAATTTCTAATTGCCAGGTCTATCAAGGACAAGTTAAGCAATATTTAAAAAAAAAAAATTGTAAGAAGCCTTGTGTTTACAGTAAAATTTAGAGGAAAAAAAAAAAAGCCAGCTATTTATCGGATAAGAAGCCCTGTTGGCACAGTGTTAAGGAAAGGTCAGCAGTTTGAACCGGCCAGCAATTCCTCACCACAAAAAGATGTGACAGTCTGCTTCCATAAAGATTTACAGCCTTGAAAACCCTATGGGGCAGAGTTCTACAGGGTCTCTATGAGTCGGAATCAACTCAACAGCAACGGGTTTGGTTTTTTTGGTTTTATCTATCAGATAAACATGCCTCCTGGGAGAAGCAACCAGAGAAAATCATGGCAAGCTAAATATTTTAGAGTAGAAAAAGGCCAGGTTTATAATACTCCAGTGAAGACTTAGAAGCTAGAGTATTATTCCTCTCTCTTCTTCATCCCCCCTAGGGTAAATTTAAATCCTTGTTAAATCCCAGTGATAGACTACATTTTCACCCCTATTTAATAAACCCCAAGTCTCACCATCCATACCATCTACTAGTGCAACAGAAGTCAGTCAAATCTGAGATCTAACAAGCAAAGAAGATAAAGTTACTAGATTCTCACTCTTTTTTTGGCCTATCAAGTCTCTGGTCCACCATATCTACCTAGAATTTTATTAAGTAAATCAGCAAGTCTTATCAAAGGATCAAAATCCACTTACCAACTGGTCTGGATTAAGTCGCTCTCCATTCTTCAGGCGATCCTTGTAATCTTCCAATTTGAGCTACAAAAGAGAAACTCGTGTCTACTATTAAAAAAAACAACAGTTGCTGTCGAGTCAATTCTGACTCATGGCGACCCCATGTGTATCAGAGTAGAACTGTGCTCCACAGGGTTTCCAATGGCTGATTTTTTCCGAAGTAGTTTGCCAAGCCTTTTCTCCAAGGCACCTCTGTGTGGACTCAAACCACCAACCTTCTGGTTAGCAGTCGAGCGTGTTAAACATTTGTATCTACTATAGTCTGATATAAAATTCTGAAGTAAATAAATAACAGACCTTGTTTCTTATGAAAACAAAGTTCTTAAAGTAAATTATTACTCTGAAATACCATTTTACTACAAGTCAAGCAGCAACTACAGATAAGTTCTAGTCAAAAAAAAATTTGTGTGTATACAGTCAATAATATGCCCCTACCCCAGAGGTGCTCAATCAGAGGCAATTTTGCTCCCCAGCAATATATGGCAGTATTTGGTGACATTTTTGGTTGTCACAACTTGGGGGGGTGGGGCAGGATACAGAGTGCTACTGGCATCTTGTGAGTAGAGACCAGGGATGCTAGTAGAGAATTTATGCTGATCCAGGCGCACTCACTTTATCATACTTGTGGATCAACTGCATGCATTCGAAAGACAACCAACGGTAACTAGGGCTTCAGAGAAACTACCAGTAAGGAGCCCTTCTTTGGGAATCAAACTCACATTACCTTCACTACCTTCTTAACTTAAAAAAAGGAAAAGAAATAGTCAACTAGACTCTTAAAAATCTCTTCACATCCCTCCATTAAAAACAACTTACCTATGGTTTAATTAGGTCTTGATATAAAAATATTAAGAGTTCTAGGTCCTAGGCCGCTCAATCTTGCCTGTCACAAGCAGAAGGGAATCACAATACAACAAAGCAACGTGCTATACTGTCTCACAGACTACATGACTCAGGAAATAAGGAATGATTTGAACCTTTACATCAGCATTTACTGTAATGTTAGGCTGATAACCTCTGAGTCTCTTTAATAACAAGGCTCTCTACAATGCTTTCACCTACAATCGTAAGGCGTTACCTAGCAACACAAAAATTAGTGCTAAAACCTTTTCTGGCTCTACCATGGTTAAAGCTTCCAATGACTGCAGCAACGGTACTGCAATATGAACTGCTGCAGAAAGTTACAAGAAAAACAAGCTAAAAAGTCAGGCTATTACTCATGTATGAAAAGAAACATTAATATGACAATGAATTAATCTGACATAAAATAGCTAGCTCTTCAAGTACTTCAACAGTAGCATGCATAATTCTACCATGAAGAATACTTGTATTCAGCTGTGTTGACAAACAGAAAATGTTTAACATATCCAATATTTAGTCTGCCTGTTTGTTTTCAGCCAGCTGAGTCCCAAGGTTAAATCTTTAGAAATACCTATGAGCCCCAATAGAAAGCAAAAACGTCAGTCTCTTAACCCTTGTTTAAGGTCATACATATACAACAAGGTTGGGGGGCGGGGGGGAATTACCTTCTTTTTCTCGATGTTTCTAATTTTGTGTTTAAGGCATATGAGTCCATTATCAATATAGGTTTCATATGCCTGGGAAGGAGAGGCAGCCGAACTGATAATAGAGTGCAGGGGACTCATGGCCCGCTGGCTTTCCCCATGCTGATTGTGGTTCACCTGGGGCTTGGCTGACTTCATATTCCCCCCTCTTCCCTCCTCTGAATGGCCTGAAGGTGACTGGTAACCAGAAGGAGATGAAGAGAGTTGCACCATTGAAACAGATGAGTCTGGAGGGGGGAGGGGGAAAAGTTAAACATAAAAGTAGAGGCTTTCATTTTCCTGAAAAGTTTAAGCCCACTCCCTCAAAGTTCTCCTCCACAGAATTGAGCTCAAAATCTAATGGTACTTTAGATACTATGCGTCCATCCCACTACTTTTATGGCAATTAGTCCAAGAACTAGCCAGTAAGGATAGCCTTTACGTAGGCAAAATCTACAATACAGCGGATGTTTCCAGAAATTCAATTTTCCAGTCAGAGATCTGCTAGCCAAACAATGGCTTCAGAGCTCCACTCTCTCGAGGGCAAACCACATTCTGAATATTTCCACCCTCAAGTAAAAGACACACAAAAAATACTTTCCACACTTTAAAACAGCTGGTTTCAACCATTTACAGGGTCTCTCACCACCAGCCCAAACTAGTCATTAACATTTAAAAGAAAATCCCGAACACACGCCCTTCTTTCACAGCTCTCAATCACTAAGAAAGCTAACTTCCCTCTGATCATCCTGAGGCCTACAAGGCAAGTTCTTCACTACCAGACATTTGTAGCGAGATATTCCTTCTCAAACTTCAAGGGCCCCAAGTTAGTTTTCTATTGTTTTGTTTAGACTAAACCATAACCATGAACACCCAACCAGTTTAAGGGCTCATCCTAGCGAGCCTCACACTGCCCTGGTCAGTTGCCCTCAGCTCTGCTTTTCTGCCGCGGACCGTTAAGTACCCATCCACTCTCCTTAAGGGCATCCCAAAGCAATGCATCACAGGCCCCACGCACGCCAGCCCTCCCATCAAATGCCCGCAGGGTCACCAGAGCCCGACGGCGCCGACCGCGGCCCTTCCCACAGCCCTCCGAACGTCGCTACGCTGAGAGCACGGGACACGGCCACTTCTGCAGGTGCGGCTGTGGAGAACCACCCAGAGAAGGAAAACGCACAGCCCGCCCAGGCCGCGGGGATGCCGAGCCGCCCCTTCACCTCACAGCGGCGGCGGCTCTGCCCACCCTCACTCGGCCGCCGCAGCCTGGCTTCACCTCCCCAGGCCGCCGAGGCCGCAGCCGCTGCCGCAGCCCGGGCCCGCCTTCGAAAGCTGGCGGGAGCGAGGAGAGCTGCGGACGTGGCCCAGCGCCAACCCGCACTCGCGTCTCCTCCTCCTGCCCCCTGTCTCCTCCTCCGGTCTCCTCCTCCTCCCCGCCCTGTCCTCGCCGCGGGCGTCTGCGGAGCGTAACGCTCCGCCGACTCAGCCGCTCTCGCCCAGGCCCGCCCTTTCCGCCGCGCCTAGTTTATATACGGCGCGCCCCGCCCCCTCCTGCGCGCGCGTGCCCTCTGGCTGCCCCGACACCGCCTCCTTCCGGTGCCCCCACCCCGGCCGCCGTCGGCGTCGCGAGCGTTTCGGTTCCAGCCACAGCTGGAGCGAGAAATTCGTCGGGAGAGGGCGTGTTCTCCCCGTGATTGCAGAGATCGCAGAGCACCCAGGTGGGCCCGGGTGGTTTCTGTCCCTCTTGCCCACCTCGCTGATTGCATCCAGCATCAGTTTGCTGCGCGACTTTGAACAGGTGATTTCGATCACTCGAAAAAGGCAGAGCGCCCTTTGTGAAATTACCAAATAAACCCAGCTTGAGACCTTAGTGGTTTAGGTGGGCACTTTTGAAATGCAGGAGCGTCTCTGCCCTGCAGAGTCCATCCTTCACAGAAGGATGAGGACAATTACTCCTCCCTCAGAGGAGGGCTCAACCTGTAAGAACAGAATACCCAAGTCAGCATTGCCATAAAAACGGAGTGGGTGACTCCGCGACCTTCCATAATAGAATTGTGCTTATTTAGGCTGTGTTATTCGTCGATGTTAAAAATGATTAATTCATTGGTACTCAGAGAAAGCTAGGGGCGAAAAAATACAAAGTTGCATAAAATTAAAGAGACCAGAAATACATAAGAGTTTCTAAAGGAAGGAATGGTGTTTCTTGTACAAAACGAGTTTTAAAACAAAAAACCTCCTTGCCAAACATGGTCCTAGCTGTTACACCAAATAAAATGTTTTTAGGTCCTGTCCCTGAGACTCCGATAAAAAAAAATTGTTTAGACTAGCAAGAGAGAAATAGACAAAAATCAGAAATAATAAGGGAGCAGTGGCTCAGTTTTAAAAATCTTGGCCAAGCCCCGCCACACACACAAATTACCTTGAATTTATAACGTTTCTTGTATGGTATTCTGCCGTTTATTATCTGTGTTCTTTTCAGTCCCTGGTGAAGCAGTGTACCCTAATGTTGCGTTTTAGTTTTGAATCTCTGAATCTCATATTTGACCTTGAGGGTCAGACAAATATTAGGTCATTCATTTGTCTCATTGTTTATAACCAAAGAAAGAACAGAAGCTGCGGTAGATGAGGGGAGGAAGGCTATGCCTTTCCTCTTGACACCACAAAAAACTGTGGACATAGGAAGAAAAAATGTGAATGACACATTTTTAGATCAGTGGGTTAGCACAAAGTTACAATACAGGTTATGCTTGTTTGAAATAAGCTAATAACTTAAAAACTGTAGTAGGGAGAAATTTTTATTAGTTTATATTTCCATCAGATTAGTCATGAAACAACGACCTTCTAGTTGTCCTGGCAAAAATCATCTCTTGGGCCATAAAACATCTGACTATAGACCCTAAATATGCCACTAAATGGAATAATTTTGAAGGAGCTATATGAATATATTTCCCAACAGGGATCATGAAAAGGAATCGAAAGAGAATGTGAAAGCAAAAATAATGAAATTTCAAGCCCAGTAAGGTATAGACTGTGTAAGCATAATATAACATTTGTAGGAGAATGTACCTCAGTAAATAACAATCTTGCAGCAGTGTCCTGTGATAAAATGAAAAACTTGTTCAAGGAAAAGCTTTCCTGCTGGAGGAGTTCATTAAAGCCAATGAATGTGGCTTATTTTGAAAGCACATGCCCCCAAACACTTTCGTCAGGGTTTTTGTTTTGTTTTTTTCCCCCTTCCCCATTCCCTGTTTTCTTTAACACCTTGATTTGTCTTGCCAACTGAGATTTTGCCAGTATTTGTGGAAAACCACCTCTAATCTTAGCAAGGAATTACTATATTTGAAATATGAAAAGGTATTGTTTCACATCAGTGGGAGAAGAATACATTGTTCATTCCACAAATGTTTATTCGCACATTCTTTGTGTTGGGTGGCACAAATGATTCGCACTGGGCTACTAATCAAAAGGTTGGTGATTTGAATCCACCCAGGTATGCCACAGAAGAAAGCCCTGGCTATCTACTTGTGCAAGATCATAGCCTTTGAAAACTCAACGGAGTGCAGTTCTACTCTGACACACATGGGGTCATCACCGTGAGTCAGAATCAACTAAACAGCAACAAGTAGTGGTGGTGGTTATTGGGTGTTAGGGATAAAATGGCGAATGAGACAAATATCACCCCTTCTGATCTAGGAAATAATATTGGAGTTATTATTCCCTCTCCTTGAGCATGGAGAATTGTGACCCAGCTGGGGCTGAGCCCTCAGAGACTCACAAAGACACATCAGCTGGGCTTGAGATAAGACAACAGATGGGACAGTCTCAGAAATTATCTTAAGAAAGTTTTCACAAAAGGGTAATAAAACCTAACCCAAAGGACTTCTCACCTTTTGTCTTTTTCTATTAACATTTAGTGAATAGGAATTTGTTGGACCAGTGAAGACCCTCCTGACTTTCGTAACTGAAACCCATACCAATGATTGTTAAGAAAGATGATTCAAAATGTAAGATTACAATTTCTAGCCAATCAGTGAAAAAGTGATGCTTTCAATGATTCTACCCATTTTGTGATGTTGATATATACTGATGATTCTCTAACCTTCCTTGGACTCGGACGGACATGGCTGTGGCAGCATGCTTGTCCGTTTTCCCATTCTTGCCTATTTTGTTATATTCTTTGGACTCGGACAGACATGGCTGTGGCAGCGTGCTTGTCCGTTTTCCCATTCTTGCCTATTCTGTAATATTCTTTGGACTCGGGCAGACATGGTTGTGGCAGCATGCTTGTCCATTTTCCCATTCTTGCATATTCTGTAATATTCTTTGGATTCAGGCAGACATTCTAGCTCTGGCAGCATGCTTGTCCGCTTCCCACTTTTGTCCTTTAGAATATATGCCAAATAAAACTTTATTTTTACTTTACTAAACTTTGTGATGCTTTTCCCCTACGACACTTCCCACATGGAGCTGAATAGGAATTCAGTAAAAGCTCCAGGAATAAATGACAAAAACAACCAAATAAATAAAATATAAAAAGAAAAATACTAAAAACTTGTATGGTTTTATTTCTGCAAAAACATTCAGACTTTAGGTTGCTTGAAAATATGAAGATTTTAAATATGCATGGATGGTTGTTGGTATAGTCACTTAAAATGTTGTGTTAAAATGTTGTTAAAACTGGAAAGATTAATTCACCAAAGGATGTTGAAACTGGTAGCACTTGAGTGGAGATACAAGAAATTATCTTGGACATTTTGTTATGGGTGATAGAAATGTGCTACTCAATGGCTCGACAAGACCTTATGGACAGTTGCCATTAAAAAAAAAAGGAAATGACTGAGAAAAATAACAAGAAGGCCCAGAAAGATAGAGACTCCCACAAATAGTGGAAACAATTAATATCATAAGGTTGTTAGAGCT